CATTTCTGCCCCTTCTAAACACGCTCCAACCATCAAAATCATGCCAGGACACCTCGTTTTTCTAACCCTAACCCTACCCTGGTGCACACCCCTAACCCTAATAGAGGGGTAAAATACCATTGAAAAGAAGACAATTTTGAAAAAGCCCTCCCTGAGTGGCTTTTTCTGCACTGCTCATCATTTCTGCCCCTTCTAAACACGTTCCAACCATCAAAATCATGCCAGGACACCTCGTTTTTCTAACCCTAACCCTACCCTGGTGCACACCCCTAACCCTAATAGAGGGGTAAAATACCATTGAAAAGAAGACAATTTTGAAAAAGCCCTGAGTTCCTTTTTCTGCACTGCTCATCATTTCTGCCCCTTCTAAACAGAAGCCTTTACTGCTGTTTGAAACGCACCTCCCTCTTCCTCTGCCAAGCAGCCAGAAAACGCCCAAGAGCAGCTTTCGAAAGCAGACACAGCGAATGAGAATTCACATGCTCCTCCGGAGCAGGGAAGGGTGTGTTTTTGGTCACATACGCGGAGCCCGTTGGGGTTGCCCCGTCCGCTCCAGGCTCAAAGGCTATTTTCCTCTCCCACGCTGCACCCCTGACCTGTCGGCGGCGATCTAAGCTTGGCTCGTCAGGCCCGGCCTGGCCTGGCCCCCCAGCCCTCGCAGCTGCCACTGCGTGTGTTCTCAGCCCCGTGACGTTGGCAGGTCTTCCGCTCCCTAATCCTGCAAGATGGATCGCTCTACAAATGCCTGGACATATGGCTGGGCCATGCTTCGGTACCCAGCTCGCAGCGTGTCTTGACAGCCCTCTTACGTGGGGCGTCTCCATGGTAAAGGCGACCCCTTCTATATTTAGCCAGGTGTGTTGCTCTGAATATTAATGATGCATCCAGCAATAAGATACAGCTACCTAGCAAGTTTTATATTTCTTTCGATGACCCCTAACACGCTGTGATTTCCTAGAAGCACAATGTTCAACCAAAGATGTCGCAAGGCTGCCCTCTTGTGGACATCGGAGGTGTCCGCACTGGCATGCATTTCTGTGTGTGAGCATCTGTCTACACTTGTGTATCTGTGCACTTTCTCACGCACAGAGAGCGATCGGCTCACAGATAAAACTAAGATTTATGCCAATTAGAATATTGCAAACACTTCTTTTCAAAAAAATCACAAATAGAACAGGAAAAAAAAATAACAGAAAGCCCTGTGCCAGGTCGCAGGCACTGCTGCAGAAATTCAGTACTCGCATCTTGGCTCTAAACATTAATCTAAGATTTAGTATAAGGCTTATGAGTTGAATTGGCATCCGGATATGATTGATGATGATATGATGTACGTTGAAATTGCAAGCGAGAGAGCATGGCAGGATCTTCAGAGCACCGAATGATAGATGGTAGCTGTTTATCCTTTCAAGATTTTAGCCTAAGTCTCTGTGCAACTATAAATGCTATTTAATAGCCAGGGTGATTTGCATAAGCTCCCTGTTCCAGTCCTGCTTCGGAAACAACAGAGCGGTGCTGAGAACGAAACTGGGCAGACTGCGAGGCTGAGGGTGCAGCCAGTGCCATCCAAGCAGCTTATCCCTGGTCCTGAACACAACCCAGAGTACGTTCAGTACCACAGAGAGTTCCTTAAAGCCACAGGGCCTTCTCCACTGTGGCTCCTCTCTAGCGGAACGGTGCTCTCACAGAGGGACGGGTACCCACAGAGTTTCCTTTTCAGGGAAGACATCGCTCTTCTTCCAGGGATGTTACGTTTTTATTATCATACTTGTTTTCTTGTGCAAGCTGCCAAGGAACTATTGTTACGGGACAGAATATGGACATGTACCTATCCATCCATCTAGTATTTGCCTCTGTTGGGAACCTGTGTCAAACATCAGAACAGTGCCCAGCATGACTTGAACTGGTGCTAGCAATTGTGAGCACCAAGCCAAGATGTTTTTATTCTGGCTTAGTGAATTGAAAAGATTTTAGAATGCGACTAAGTGTCTACTTCGAGCATTTGAATACCAAGGAAGGAGGCCCTTGGCTGAATGGGGCGTGAGTCTGTCCTGTATGATTTCATAATATTTGGATAGCAGAACAGCTGGCTTCTCCTGAGATGCAGCAGGGAGGGAGGGAGGTATTTCACCCCCCCCCCCCCGGCGCCTGATGCATGAAATTTTTCCTGCAGCTCCAGATTGAGGTCATTTCCCATTTGTTCAGATGAAAAATGCTTTGTTTTTCGCATTAGGTGCTGATGCGACACAGAGGCAGATTTCTTTCCCTCTCATGTGGGTATTGGGAAACGCATCTTATAAGGTGGCACTTGGAGAATTTAAGGAATCCTTCTACTCTAAAAATACTTTTTAAAAATCCTTGGCCTGATTTATTAGGGGCCCCTTTTTACTTGACCCAAATCTCGTAGGCGATTAAAATAATCGGCCAATTAATGAATTGCCTTGCATTGCTTTTACCTAACAAAATTTTAAATGTTAAAAAATAAATGAGCTAGATAGCATAACCCCATGCCTGTCAACTCGTAAATGCATTCAGTCAAGTTCAGCAGGGCCTGCTTTCAGGTGAATCGCTACAGGCCACTCTGTCGCTTACCTGGGAGTAAGTCCCACTGGTGTTCAGCAGGACTAACTTTTCAGCAGATAAGCAACAGGCTGCCTTATGGATGTTGCGTGGCGAGAGAGCGCTTCCTTGAACTGAAGGCATTTGCTTGCCCGCAAGCACGTAACAGGGCTCAATGTTTCCAATAAACGAAAAAGAAACAACAGTAATTCTGAAACTGGGTGCTTCTCCTGTAACCACAAATGAGAAGCAAATTTGCCCACATCTACTAAATATGTAGAAAATGTTCATCTTAAAATGAATCAACCATTTTCACTTTGTGAGCAAAACATATGATCTTCAGAAGGGAATTATTCTTTGTTTCAGAAGTTTGAAATTCCCGGCGAGATAAAACACCATCTTTTATTTTTAGCAGAGATGGAAGATAGGCTTTTCTTAAAGCACTGAGTACACACCCTTAATTACTGAGTGATCTGTGCAGGAACCCTGAACTAGTTTCTAATTGAGAAAATATTGCCTAGTCTCTTCTGGGCTTCCGTCTATCCATGAGGACTAGCAGCAAAAGAGATCTTTAAGAAACCATTCTGTTGTCACAACAGAAATGTGCTCTTGGACGTACACATACAGAAGTTCTTGATTTGCAGGGGTGGAGAGAAAATGCTTCTCTGGATCAAAACAGCATTGCAACACTTCTCTCTCTAAGCATGTTTACTTGGAAGTAAACTCCACAGGGTTCGACAGGGCTTGGTTCGAAGTATGCTCGCCTAGGATCGCAGCCTTGCCCACTTTAGTCTGCCAGGCACCCATCATGACACAAACCAGGGTGTGAACGGGTCTTTGCCGGGGAGCATGGAAGCATGTTTGCACAAGATTTCACCGGGAGCTCAACTCCTGACCAACAGGGGCACCTGGAGCTGGAATGAGTCCTCGAGCCCAGGGGAGCTTCCTCACCTGTCCTCCCTCGCTGGCTCGCCATGCGACCGCATTACGGCAGAGGAGTTTTGCTGGGCCGTTAGGTTGCAAGATGCTCGTCTCATCTGTTATTGATGACAATGGATCTTCTGGGGGGTCCATGAAGGCCTCTCTGGTGCACAGTCCTGCAACTGGGGCTGTGGCCGGACGCGTTAGTCACCCAGAGAGTGGCGCCGGATGGGGGCATGTCCAGGCTATGCATTACTCTTCATTCACAAGCTTGGCCTTGTGCATCCCTTCCAGGGGAAAGCTTCCCCGTGGCTTGCTCCGGCTTTGGAGGGCAAAGCGCCCTCGATGAACCCCCTCCTCCGTGGCTCCACGTTCGCCCCTCTGCCTTGCCCCCCATCTTCTTCAGCACTGCCTGTGGAGCAGCCGGGCGACGCGCGGATCGCATGGGAAGGATGCTTCAGGTGGGCGTGTGCTTTTCTTCACCTGGGAGGCACGACCATTAACATTCCCTCTGCCATTTCCCAGCTCTGCTTTACAAAACCCTCTGAGCATGCCGTTTTGCACGTAAAATTCTCTTCCATCCCACCTCTGCCAAGACTGGAGCGATCCCGTGCGATGCCGTTCTGTTGCCCCACTGCGTGCGCTGCTCGCCACGCGGAGGCCGTGCAAACCGCTCCTTTCTCACCTGTTGGCCATCGTCTGGCTGGGCGAGTGGCAGGGGAGCAAACCAGCAGCTGAGAGCGAGAAGCACGTGGGCCCTGGGGAGCCACTCGGCCGTGCCCGCCAAGACCCTGGGGTGGCCCCGCTGGATCATCCGTTCCTACACTACCTCCATCTTGTCCGGACCCAGCTTCAGCCTTTTGGAACCTCGTTCAGTCCCAAGCTGTGGCAAACACCAGCCGAGACTCGCCAGTGCCTTTCAGGGGCTAAATGATGGGAACAAGGGGAAGTGGAGGAGAGACCCCTGGGTATCATCCACACGCTACACCAGACCCCTGAAGGATGTGTGACCAGGCGGCCAGCCTGAATACAGGTCAAAACAATGTGAACGAAGAACACACCAGACTAGCAAACCCAAGATGTAGCTGGAAGGAGTCATCTTTTGCAGATGCACTTGCTCGGTTTAACATTAAACCAACGTTTTCATTTTTTAATCTGCTGTCCACCACCCGGTCTGCAGCAGCTGTGGAAAAGGTAGTCCCTGGTAGGCATATTTAGGAAAAGAACTGAAAATAACACCATCAGAATCATGCATTATTGTGTGGGAGAGGACATTCCTGAGTTGGGGAAAGCAGAGAAGGGCAGCTGCCGGGGTGAAGGGATTATCTGGCCAGGGCAGCTTATTTTATATTGTATTTTTGTATTTTTAATCTAATGCTTATATTTTAAATTTAAGATTATAATTATTTTAATTTATCGTTGTAAGCCACCCTGAGGCTTCGGCGAATGGGGCGGCATAAAAATGTTTTAATAAAAATTAATTAATTAATTAAAGCAACTCGTGTATGAGGAGTGAGCCAAGATGGGTTCAGCCATCCACCTACAGGGCCTGCCAGGGGGCAGTGGTCATGGGGAGCTGGCGTCCTAGGGAATGCGATTCTGGAGTCCGAGGAGCGGCTTCCAAGAGCTTGTTCAGCAGAGCTGGCAAAAGGTGCCTCTTTCAACTGAAAGGGCTCTTAGGACTGACCTGCTTTGTGGTCTTGGCCTTCCGCCTCGTAGCCTGCAAACGTTCAGCTTGTCAGCGTAAAGGCAGCTGGTCTCTGGCACTTTTTGGAAAGGGTCCACTGGGAGCGTCCCAGCTCGCCCCCGTGGAGCGGGGCCCCTGCATCCTGAAGCCGGGCTAAGGGGGTCTCCTCACGGGCTAGAGGGAGGAGAGGAGCATCCGCCACTGACAGGGAAGCGAGCGCAGACAGAAGCCGCTTCCCAAGAACCGGAACTCCGGGAGCTGCCGCCCGCCTTGGCCTGTGCATTGGAACGCGAGGCGTGCATAATGCAGGGAGCCAGCCCTGTGCTGGGAGCAGTCGGACCTACATTATTCATGTTTAATCTACTCTGAACACACACGGCTCTTTCCTGCAAAGAGCTAAGAGCTGCTTCCTCCGGCTCCTCTCAGGCGAGCCCCCGTCAAGGAAGCGTTCTGCGCGACCGTCGAGCCCTGCATTGCTCGAGGACCCCCACGACTCCTCCCAGGGATGTCTGTGTGTCACGTCCTGCCCGTGTGCGAAGAGGACGCATCGTTTCTGCAATGCTCCGTTTTTCATGCTCCTCGCACGCTCATTCTCCCGGGGGGGCCGAGGCTGAGGTGGCGCACAGGGCTTGCCTCTGCGTCCTCTCAGGCGTCTGGTGACCCCGCGGGGATGCGGGGGGGGGGGGGGACACTCTCATCTGTGCAAGAGTGCAGCTGGCGGGGATTCGAACTCGGGTCTCCTGGGTTCCCTTGCCTCCTGGGACATTGTAAAGGGTGGGATACAACGATTTTAAAGCAAGGAAGTGGGAAAGCAGGAAAGCAAGCAAACATGCTTCTGCCCCTCGTGGCAGGAACTCGCCTTGCCCGCTCACCATGCAACCCTTTCCTCCCTGCTCCAGCTGGACCCAGCCCGGCAGTCCCGCCATGCTGGAAAACGGAGATCTTCAAGACAAAGAGCAAAACTCGAGCACACACCGCCTTGAAACATCTAAAGGCCAGATCTCCCAGGACCAAAAAGTAAGGTACGGCAAACTGCAACCACAGCGGTATATGGTCCGGCAGGCAGAAATTCCACAGGTGCTGACATTGCCAAAAGCATCACCTGTGGGACTTCTGCCTGCTTTGGAAGGCACAACGGACCCTGCCAGGGAGGGCTGATCCTACCGGGCTGAGCAAGGGCTCCTGCAGGCCATTCGCCGCTTTGAACGGAGCAGCGGCAGCTGAGTTAATTGAATGTCATCCCAAAGAGCGAATGAATAATCCATGATGCTAAAGCGGCACCGGGGAGCCCTTCCCTTGCCCCCCGCGTCTTGCTGGGGAGGCGGCTTTCAAGAGACCCTGCAAAGCGCCGCTCCCTGAGGGGGCCGGCCCCGCTTGGCACAGTGTGAGGCCGCTCCCGGAGGAAAGCAGGCAGCGGGCGCCCAGCCTTCGGCTCTCGCGGAAGCAGCTGGCACGCCCTGGCACCGGCCCTGAGCGGCCGTAAGAGGCTAATGGCTGATGCAATATTCAGCACTTGTCCCGGTTACCCAGCAAGAGAGTTCAGCACATTGAAAGAGGCAGAGGGATCCGACTCTGCGAATGGCGTTGGCACCCAGTTCGGATGTGGTGGGAGGGGACCACTGAGCATCTCTCCGCGGCTGCCGGGTTCCTTTCGGCCACCCCGAAAGGGTCCCGCCAGGTTGGAAGCGTGGCACATTCAGGCCCCCACGGGGACCAGGCCACGTGTCCCGGCATGCGAATGAGTTTCTCTACCAGGAGAACTGTGCCACGGATCCACTTCTGTGGCTCAGCAGAAGACAATTTTGCCACGGACACACTTTGGGGTCTCCTGCGGTCCAGGGCAGTGGGGAGAAACTGGACATTTGCCTGTCCAAGCTGGGGGGAAGCAGGCGCCTTCCCTTATCACGCCACATTGGGCAGACGGTTGGCTCTTGCCCGGCGCCAGGGATGGGACAACGCTCCCCTGTGGTCACCAGGTGCCTTGGAGGAGTCGGGGCAACTTGTGTGCCCTCCAACCCCTCCGCCCTGCTGCCTGCCCCACACCACCTGCTGCCCGAGGCAGCCGGCTCATCCTGCCCAACGAGAGGGCTGGCCCCGAACTGGCCGCAGATCTCCCCGCGTCTCCTGATCTCCTTGAATGGGCGGCTGACCGTTCCCTTCTTCCCCCGGCCTCTTGGGTACACGTTCCTGGAACGAGCTAGCAGGCCGGGCTGCCTCTGCCAAGTTGGGTTTTAACTAGATGGAAAAATATATACATCGCATGCAACTCTGGCCATTCCTTCCAGATCTCTTATGTTTATTACCATCATAAAATTCCACTATCAGATTGCACGGCCTGAGTCAAAGTGGTGGGAACATGTGCCAAGTTTTAGGATGGAAGGAAGGAAGGACGGAAGGGTAGAATTTGGCCACTGTCAGACCTGATCCATTAGGGAAGATTCCTGATGGGTAGTTGATTTCTAGAAAGATGCACTCTTAGCTCAAGTTGCCTAGAAGCCCAGTCCCAAACTGACAAATAAGAGTGGACTAGCACACGGATAAGAGAAAGGTACTCTGCACATGTTCAGGGACTGCTTGGTTTACACTGAAGCGTAATCACGACATTTATCAACTTTCAAAACCCAAAGAAAAATGCTTAATTGTTGAAGCTTTCCCTCTTTTAAAGAGTCATTTTTACTGATAAATATCTAAGCCGATTACTTTCAGCTTGGCCCAGTTCTCGTCCTTGTACACAGGCACTTCCCAAAATCAACATTCCTTGTTCCAAGAGATGAGAACCAGCTTGAGAAAGCACCTCTCCCTCTCTCAGATTTGTTTTATGCCCAGTTTCAAGTCGTAAAGTCATTCATACGGAGGTTACATTTCATCTAAAAGTGTGGCTAGACTGCTGGAGTTAATTCTTTCTGGGAAACATTTGGGAATTATCAGGGCATCCTTTGAAAGGTTCAGCTGCACTATAAAGTGCTGGCTTATGCCAGGGTGTAAGACCTTTTTCAACCTGGGGGACAAACTGCGCTTTGGATAAGCTCATGGGCGAAAGCAGAAGTGGGCAGGGCCAACGGGAAGGAGAGCAGCCAAAACGCCAAAACGCTTTATCTTCCAGCTCTTCCCACCACGAGCTAAGCTTTAGGAGATCTTTCCCAATGGAGGGACAATGGCTATGCCAGGGAACAACAAACAGGCGGGTGGCCAGGGGAGAGGACTGCTCCTCTGGGAAGTCCTCCAGGGCCCTCCTGGTGGACCAGCCTTGAATGGGGATCTCGGAGTTCAGCATCGCAGGCCTTTGCTAAAGAAGATTTCTTACCTTTCAGGCAGGAGAGACTAAGGCCCATGTTTTCCTCCTTCTAACATGTCGGAGAAGTCAAAGATGCAATGTCCGTCGCTGCTCCTTTGCTGCTTAGATGCTGGAAAGTGAGAAAGCATTTTTTTTAGTTCGAACATGAATAGAAGCGGCCCAGCGTTGAAAACTGTTTGCCCAGCTGGGAAATGCATGTAAGGCGTGTTCCCTGCAGTGTTGCGATGGATACCACCTTTTATTTTATAAAATGGCAGCAAAACAGCCCGAAGCATGCAAAGGAAGACTCTAACATCCAACGGCTTGATCCTGCTTTTCAAAGCCACCCTCAAACCAGAAAGTTTTCAAGGAAAATACATAGGAACACCTCTTGCGCTCTAACGCTCCAACACTGAACGATCTGTCACATTGAGCCTGGTTCAGGCACATGCTGATTTTCGGCAGCCCTCAACGCACCCTGAAAACTACTCATCAAACCTTCCCGCATAAGTGAGGACAGATTCACAGATCTCCCTGACCCACACTGGCAATAACCCCCCCCTTTTTTTACAACCCCCCACTGAGAGCCCCACAACCCCTACAAACCATGGCTTGTCAGGATGGCTTAGTTGCTCATGAACAACCAGTCCATGAGACTGGTCTGAGTTCGCCTGAGAATGCTGGGTTGTCACCCATGACGGGCTTCGTGTTGTGTGAACCCAGGCAAAGCCTCTTTTTCGGACCACATTTTTACCTGATGTTACCGCCAATAGGAAGACCACGAGGCTAGCAGAAAAACCTTCCTCTGCCCCCCTTTTCACATGCAGAAAAGCAGCGCACATGGGAAGAGGTGCTCTGGATGCCACACCAAGGAGGCAGCCATCTCAGCTGGTAGCCACTGGCAGGCCTACCCAGTCAGATCTCTGTGAGGTTCGGTCTAGCGGACAATGTTCCTTCCCACCTCTGCTATCTTTATAGGACCGGACAGCGCGGAGAACATGTTGACAACAGCCTGTTAACTCAGTGACCCACGAGATGCAGACCTGCGTTTAATCTTCACGCCCTGATTGGTTGCTATGATGCCGCCGTTACACAGTGCGGCAGCCGGCTATAAAACGCTGGTTCTGTTCGATTTACGGCTTGACATTCTGCCCCCGCGAGGGGGTGGGAACCGACATGACGCGTCCCATTGCAGGTGCGGCTGGCAAGAATCACCTGAGTTCTCAGCTCGGAGGGGAGCGTGTGTTTTCCCTGATATTTCAGCTTCTCTGTGTTTGGTAGCTCAGTACACAAAAGCTGCCAAGGTGACTGCAGGGCACACGGCAGCGGGGGGAGCATCACCCCGGGGGCCAAAATCAGCTCTCCTGGGGCTAAACCTGCCCTTGCTGGGGTCCTGCGTTCGTCCTCTGGGGTTCCCACGCCCCCTGCCTCCTGCCTCCACCCCATTCTGCGTATCAGTCCACAGGTAGTTTCCCAGCTCTTGTGCCGGTTTCCTCCCCATCCTGAAGCCTTCCTTTCCAGCGTTTTGTCACTGGCAATAAGAGCTTGATGCTAAACTTGCTGGTACTTTTTGTAGAGTTTCTCCTGTGCTGAACTCAGTCCTTGGGCTGAAGGAGCTTTCCTAACTCTGGCAGAAAAAGTAGGTGAAATGCTCTCCTCTAGCAACTGAAACGGCTGTGGAAGCATGAAGCCCTGTGAGAATTGCAGAGGAATCCTGTGGAATTCAAAAAGTTACGTTCTCCTGCACCAGACTACAGCAATCCTCCAACACAGTCTCTAGCATGTTTTTCTGGCGGGAGTTTTGCGTGCTTCACGGCAGGCGGAAATTCAACAGATGGTGCTTCCTCCAGCTATCACCTTGCCACACAGAGAGTAGGGCATTTCAGACTGCCGTGCTCCTGTTTGGTGCACATGGACCTTTCAGTGACAACGACAAACGGTGACCACCAAATTGCGCATCTCGGCCTCCTGGGCCATTCACTGGTTGCTTCAGCGTAAGGCAATTCTACCTCTGTACAAAAGCAATCCTGACTCTGAGAGAGGTCATGACTTCCTTGTGCTTCTTGCGTCCTCTCTTAAAATTAGGTTGCAATCCTAGAAGAAGGCTGCAAGGCCACTTATCTTTATCTTATCTTTATAAGTGGCACCGGGAGCCCTTTTGCTTCAGGGGTGGAGTAGCAATGATGCCAATAAAAACATAAAATTAAATGTGGAACACATCCAGAAGTCACCGTACAAGTTGTGACATTGGCATTCTTTTACAGAGCTTACTTTTAAGCACCTTCGGAATCATAGACACTCGTATTCCGAGCCAGCCCCACCTTCTGAACAATATTTCAGGACAGCCCAGCAAAACTGAAAAGTGCTGTTTATCGATTTGCTTGATTTTAAATTGTTTGATTTTAAATTGTGTTTGCATGGATGTTTAATACTGTCTTTTTAAAAGTTTCCGTCTTGTGGAAGCCACCCAGAGAGCTTTGGCTATTGAGCTATATGGGCATGTGAAGAAAAAGATGAAGATGAGGAAGAATGCCTCGGTAGCGCAGCTTTCTTTTCCTACAGTGCCCAAAAAAGATGCGGATGGAAGGCGGGATTCAGTGCCCATTCGTTTTCCGCAGCAAACACTGGACGTCACACTGAGAAATCCCCACAAAATCTTTAGGTGAAAACTGTCGATCTTGTCTTGGAATTTCTTTTTGCAAAGGCTGACTGTGGACTACATTGTGGTTCCACACGAGCATCTCCTGTTTTCATTACGTTATTCAATGGATCAAAGGGCGTCAGCAGTGGAAAAGCCCTGCATTTCATTCCAAAATGAAACCTGATTCCACAGGTTCCAAGAAGGGAGAGATGCGTGAAGCTCTGTACCAAGGCAGTGTGTCCAGTCCTTGGTTATGGCCAGAACATCAGACCTATTCTATTCGGTCATTTCTGATCTTAACTCTTAACCATTTTTCTTAGCCAACGATTTCCAGAAATCCTCTTTTCCCCTGGATCCTTACATAATTTCTTAGGACAAGTTTCTCTTTTGTCCGAAGGCAAACTCAGTCTAGATATCAATATCAATGCCTTTTAGAGTCATTGAGAAAAAAGAGCACACACCATTCATCCTAAAGCTGCCAGGGTGGCAGAACATGGAAGAGAAAAGCATATTGGTCACGCCCTTACCTTTTAAAAACCGGTGCCCATTCCGTCCATTTACTGCCTGTGTAAGAAAGCCAACATTTTGACTTGGCAGAGTTTAAATCTGAAATCAATGAGGCTACATAAAACTACTGTGAAATGCAATATCCTCATTTTTAACCATTTAATTTTCTAAGTGGAAAGATCTACAAACATTAAAAAGAGTACAGAAAACTACAGGGGATATCTCCTAAAAGCAATTGTTCCCACAGGGAAAGTCTCTGCTCTGCAAGCCCATTGAAACAAACATGACGTAAATAAAATCCAGGGCTGGCCCTGCCTTGAGGCTGAGTGAGGCAGGCATCTCAGACATCAGATGCTGGGGGGGGGGGCAACCCCCCCCCCCCACCACTCTTCCTTGAATGCCCAGCCATGTCCTTCTCTTGGGGAACAGAGAGGACCTGGACCCCCAGAATGAGCCTGCTTTCTGAAGTGCAATGGCACACGTGAGCTCCGGAGAAAGATCTGACTACAAATTTTGATAGCTGCTTCACACGGAAAGGAAGGTGCAGGAGGAAGGCCGGCTGGGCATCAGGGGAGTGGTAGTCCAACACGCCTGCACAATGCCGAGTTGGGGAAGGCTGACCCCACAGCTCGTTTTCCAGGACCGCAAGTGGCACCGGGGGAAACTCTACGCCTGCAGCCATGATCAGCTGGGTGATGCCCCGGAGAGCCCCTGCCGAGCAGGGCTTTCCGACGAGCGCAGGGAAGCGCGGCTTGGGGAAGCGGCTCTCCCACCCGCTCGCAAAGGGCAGGAGGCGCCCGAGGCGCGCGGGGATGCGGAAAGTGCCGGAGGGAAGGCGGCCGCAGCCGGAGCGCTGCCCCACGTTGCGGAGGAGCTGCGGAGCAGGCGTGGCGGCGGCGGAAAGTTCTTGGGGCCGCTCCGGGAAATGCGGGGGACCCGCGGCCCGCCGGACTTTGGAGGCAGCGCCCGGCCCGGGCAGCGCCCAGCTTTGCGCCCAAGGGGGGCGAGGCGCAGAGCAAGCAGGGGCAGAACACGGGGCGAGGCGCCAGCTCCGCGCCCGAGCTCAGGGACGGCCTCTTCGGTGCCCCCCGGCTCCCCCGCTCCCCCCGGGATGCAAGCCACCCGGGCAGCGAGAGGGAGCGCGCGCCGCGAGGAGCCCAAGCGCCCCGGGGTCCCGGGGCTGCTCCGGCGAGCCGCGACTCACCCGCTGCGCGCCGGGCGTCCTCCTCTGGCGGGGCCCCTGCTCGCTGCGCCGCCGCCGCCGCCGCCGCCAGGCGCAGCCGGAGAGTGGGCGCCGCGCCGCGCCGCGGGGCCGGAGGCAGGGCCGGCGATTTGCAT